CACACACACACACACACACACACACACACACACACACACAAGTTTTGGCTTAACCAAACATTCTGAAGCTGTATATCTTCAAGATATAACATTCATGAATCCCCTATTTGAAATTCCAGTGCATTTTCACTTTTAATTACAACAGGTATAAATGTTTCCAGATATAAGGACTAGGCAGAAAAGATTCCACTGTACATTAATTTGCTTCTGTCTTTTGCTGTGTATCAAATCCATTTATGATGAGAAACACATAGACATTTGTTTCGGATGCCAGGGAAATTGGTAAGATATCCCACTGGCTAACATTTCCCTGCATGTAATATTCATGTTAAAAGTCTCAATTAGGGTTCAGAAAGTAAAACCATTGCAATGCAAAGTTTTTCCACAATTAACATGTTGCAGAGTGTCTAGTAACCTGGAAAGGGGTATAAAGATGTTCATTGTGCAATGAATGACATTCTGATTGTGCTCATACTTGGTGGTTGGAGTCTAGTTGATTAATCATATACATGCTAATAAATCCCCAGTCATAAATCTTCCTCTTAGTTAATATTTCTTTGTCAAATCATGATACAGACTGAGAATCCCCAGTGTCTCCTTTCCTTGATCTTTTCCTTTCTCAATAGGATTTTACTGCTTTGTGTGCTATCTCTCAATTCTGATTATAAAGGATTCTCTAGAGTAGACTTACTACTAGTTATTTACATTGCTAGATAAATTTCATAAAAACATCTTGAATTGGAAAGGCTGTATATTTTACAAATAATTTTTTACATATATTATTCCATTTTCCTCCCTCAGCTCCCTTTTTCAAATTAGAAAGCTGAGAAGTTTGATAATTTGTTCAAGATTGTACAGCTAGAATGCAGTACAGCTAGGACTCAAACAGATTTTCTGTCTTCAGGTTGAGTCATTTTTTTTTTTCATTCTCTCATTGCTTTATGTAAATCCAAGTGTTTGTACTAAGTTTTCTAGGGTTATCTGCATTTTTGGTTTTATCTGAGCAGTGTTTTCCCTGTTAAAGAAATTTCAAGCTATATGTAGCATTGATGGTACATCAGTTCCAAAAAGACCATATAGAGAGTTACTTCTTCCTACCTATGTGTATGTGTGAAGATCACCTGAATATTTATTTTACAACTGGGCCCAACTTCATTAGCTATTTTTGAATCAATAGTTATTTGCAAAAGAATTCAAGCACATTTTAATACACATGAGGCTGATATTCTCAACATCTAAACTACTACTCAATTTATAATCTTGGTGTTTTAGAGGTATGCCTAACCCACATATTAAGTTTATGCTCTAGACTCAAACTCATGGTGAGATATTTGAATAATTGAATTCTTTCTGGTAGATGATTAGAAGATGTATAGCATGGAGATTATATAGGCTATATAGAAGGGATATCAGTATTTTATTAAAATTATTTCTATTTTAAGAAAGAAAAACAATTACTTTAAATTTCAAGGAAAGTAAGTGTTAACAGTGAATACCGTCTTTATGAGATGTGCATATCTGATGAGCAGGGAGATAAGAGAGCTCAGGTTGTATATTCAAGGTGGAAAAAATAAAGTCTATGGTAGAGAATCCTACAACTTCCTCCCTGCTCTTTCTGGTAAAAACTAAACATAGCAGATAGGAAAACAATGAACTTACCCTGACATGTTCTACTTCTCACTACTTGGTATCCTTGGGGGCACATACATGAGAATTTCCCAGGTTCATTAACACATTGGTATTGACACAGATAGCTTGAAGCTCTGCATTCATCAATGTCTGTTGAATCAGAGAAGAGCAAGGACACAGAGTTGAAAAACTACATTGGTAATATATTTTAGATGAGATAATAGAGTAAAAACACTGCAAACTCTGTAACTGAAATACAATACTTTATAAGAAGCTCAAGGGCAAATTCTAACAATTTTCAGCTCATTTTCCCTTAGAACTTCACAGCACAAAGAGTTCGTCTTACCATCAGTTTTACTTAATCATTATTGACAGTTTGGCAAATCCTGTCCCTAACTGTACAAGCTGAGGAGAGTGAATTAATTAGCTTATGGTAGATGCTTTTCACTTTGGGATCTGCAGACCCACCCATGATATAGATTCATATGTACTTTCTCAGAAATTGGGTCGCTCTGACACCAAGTTAATCTGAGCTTTGAACTTCAATTCCCATCACTGACTAGCTTCTAGCAGTGATATCCTGTCAGGATCTGGCCTTCAGGGGAAGAATGCTTTTTATTTCTCAATGGTGACGTCCTTCTAGTTTGCTTAGAAGGGTAGAGACAGGTGTCCAGAGCCAGCCCCTTTGGGCTTTGAGCATAGTAGCATGATGTGACACCTCTCTGGGTGAGGGATGACCTTTGTGGCCCCAAGTATAGCTAGGAGAGTCCATGAGGGAGTAGGAGACATCAAGTATTAATGGCACCCCCTCGGGATGTCTTATGCCTTTTAAATTACACAGTGGAATGTACATGTGCAATGGACTCTGAAGGTCATCCCTTCAGTTAAACGGCCCCCTTTCTACTTGTGTGGAAAATGAAATTCAGGCAACATAAGAAATGAGCTCAAGTCAAACAGTCAGGAATAAGACGTGAAGCCAGCTTGCTTGGTTTCTATTCTAATGTTTCTGACATGCAATCAGCATTTTTCAAACTTAAATGTGCACACCAGTCACCCAGAGTTGGATGTAGAATCTGACTCCGTAGGTCTGGGCTGAGGCCTGAGGTTCTACATTTCTCACAAGCTCCCAGGAGGTGCTGATACTGCTGGCCATTGGATCCCACTTTGAGGAGCAAGACACTAGAGCACCCTTTCTAATTATTAGACCCATCCTACATTTAATATTTTAGTTATTCTCCCCCTCATTTCTCTTGATAACACATGACAATGTCAATGTTGTAATTTAATTAACTGGATGTTAGAATAGAATTTCTATGGATAAAAATTTGTTTCCATAAACAGGCACATAATCAGATAAAGAAACAGCAATCAAAGGGATTGGAGTCTTATTAAAAAATTATTTGGAAAATATTTTACCTTCACAGTTGAGCCTGTCACTACTTAGCTCGTATCCTTGATTACACTGACAGATGTATGAACCAAGAATGTTGTAGCATTGCTGAGCACATTGATTGCTGGCATCACATTCATTTATGTCTGAAAGGAAAGGTTACATACATTTATATATCTATGTCTTTAAGCAAATCCTTGCTCTTTTGTACCTATGTCATCTGCTGATAAGTGAGTAATTCCCTAGCTGGATTCTTTGCCCTGCAGAAGCGCATTGGAGAACATTCATTCAGGTTTCATATTTGTTGGAACAGCTTCAAACATCTGTCATAGGCTTCTTTTAGAAATACCAGAATTTTTTTTCTGGGAATGACAGATATTTTGGGGTTTGATGAATCTTTCCAAAAGAATTTAATGATCCTAATAAATATACATTCCAGTATCTGTTTTCTTTTGTTGTTGTTCAGATGCAAAATGCCAACTCTATAAATAATTGATATAAGACACTCATACTGATATGGTCTCTCAGCATGCTGCAGTGAAGATTTATCTGTGCTATTTATTACTTTTTAAATGGGTTCTGTTAAATTCCATTACAATTATAACATAAGCCTTTGAGACCCATACGGAGTTTTGCAATGCTCTAAGGCACTGAGAATATTGTGAAAAGGCATTTTTCCTGCACTAGATTCTTTCCATGTCATGCCAATCTTCAAATTGTGTGCCGTGACATTGCATTCTGAAAGGGGAGAAGAAGCATGTAAAAATCAGATGTGCTTTCAGTGGAAAGTTTATGTCCTTGAACTTGCAGTAACTCCTTTGGCACCTTCAGCATTTATATCACACACTGTTGACTAATTGGTGTGTGTATATCAATGGACCTGTATTTTAAACAATTTTTTGATACACCCACAGAGGAGAACTAAACCAAGGCTAACGAAGTTTTCCATTCACATCTTGATGTGTTTTCAGAAACAGATTGGCTATTGTCTTTTCAGCTTTATGCGGGGAAGTTGATGGGAACCAGTTCACTCAAGAACACAGAAAACTGGAAGTGCTGCAGTGTGGCATGGGGTTTGCTTTCTTTGAAGACAGAAATCAGGTAGTCAGGACGGCGGTTCCCAAAAGGCTTACTTACCTACGCAGGTGTAGTTGTTTGCCGCCAACTGAAACCCAGGACTGCACTGGCAATAAAATGATCCTGGTGTGTTCACGCATCTTTGGTGGCAAAATGGAGGCATGGTGCATTCATCGATATCTACGTTATCAGGCACACACAAACACAGAGCACTATGTTATTGATTATCCACAGCTGTTTGCTCTCAAGTTCTCAGCAGAACATTATCGAGAAAACCTACCTAGAGAAGACCTCATTTTATAAGTAATTATTACTGTTTTTAATTAGGGTATATGTGTTTTCTTTTCTTTTTTTCTTTTTTTCTTTTTAGGGTATATGTGTTTTAAATATGCTGTGCTCTGCATTCTGCACTTCAGGAACATGTTAAGAACAAAGACTTCATAAACTTGATTGGGTGGGTTGAGATTTAGAAGAAAGAAAAGAAATTAAGACTGTTTCACATGTATATGAGAATGTCAACTTGGGGAACCTGAAAGCTTGTTTATGAGGACAGAAGTGAAAAAGAACTGTCGAAGAATTGAGTGATGTAGCATGAAACTGAGAGAGAGAAGCATGGGTTGCGTTTGAGTTGGTGAGTTAGGTGAAGTCACTTAAAAGTTCAGGATCTTGGTGTTTTCTTTTGTAAAATGTGGATCGTAGTGCTGGTTGTGAGCATCTAATGAAGTTTGTGAGAATCGAAAGAGCACTATGGAAGGAAGAAGATGCTAAACCGAAGTGCCCTTCTTACATTGATGAAGAGTCCCAGCACATGTCCTTCTCATATAAATATTTCCAACTATAAAAATGCTTGATCGAGAACTTGGAGAGTCAGATAAACATCTTAGAAGCATGATAAAATTTCGTTAATTCATGACTCTATACTTTGTGGCAATTCCAACATGGCATGTGTAATTCAAAATAACAATCATGTATGCACAATGTAAAGACTATGTAGTGACACTAGTAAAAAACAAAAACAGGGGGCCGGCCGAGTGGCGCGATGGTTAAGAACTGGCTTGGGACGCCAGAGGGCCCCGGTTCGGATCCCACATATGAGGGCCAGTGACACTGCCCTCCACAGCTAAGATGCTGAACAACAGCTCAACCTGGAGCTGGGCTGCCGTGAGTCGCCGGGGATGGCGTAGGCTGCAACCCCTGTGGCAGTGGGTTGCCATGGGCTACCGTGTGTAGCCAGCAGCCAGCGTGAGCGGCCAGCAGCCGCTGTGAGTGGCCGTCCAGAAGCCGGCGACTGATGTGCCTCGCCCGGGAAGAGCGCAATGATGGTGCCAACTTGGGCCAGTGAAGCAACGTCCTCCACAACTAGACTGAAGAACAACAACAACAAAAAATACAGCAACTTGTCTGTTCCCCTTCCCCCAATTCCCCAGCACTGTTCCCATCCCCCCAATTCCCTAATAAAAATCTTTAAAAAACAAAAACAAAAACAGAACTATGCTGAGCTCTTCTGATACTTTAATAACTAAAAGTGTGGGAGGCAGTGTGATCAAGTGGCCTCAGGGTAATCTGAGTTTGAATCTTCTGGCAATTACTAACTTGGAGCTTCCATTTTTCCTCTGTAAATAGTAGTACAACAATGTGGTAGAATTGTTTCAAGATTACATGAGGTAACGTAGGTAAACTTCCTCACACAAACAGGTAAAAAATACATGGGAGCTATTATTAATAAGTCACAAAATCTATTTCATTTAACTTGAATATTGAAACAAATTGTAATAATAATCATATGGCTTCCCGCCTCATTTAGTTAGGGGTCTCTCAAATGTCACCTCAGGAAGGCCATCTCTGACCATCCATATAAAAGATTCATCTATCCCCTTATCCTGCTTTGTATTTCTTTGTAGCCATTGACACTCCTTAACATTGTGTTATGTGTCTCCCTCACTATAATGCATGACAGATAAAACAGAGCCTGGCATAAGTCGGTGTACAATAAACATTAGTTGAATGAATGGAAACGTCACACTAACTAAGGGCAATTTTAGCGTAGTTCTTCCTAGTACCCAAGTGCCAGTCTTGATAGCTAATTCGTATAAATAGTACTTTCTAATAGCTCCTGAAGGCGGTGATTCTGTAAATTCTGTTTGTTCACCATCATGGTCCAGCATCTAGAACAGTGTCTGGCACACAGTCAACCCTCAATAAATATTCGATGAGTAAATGATGCATGTCTTCACAGCCGGTAAACATTCATCAGGCCATTGTTATTGGCTAGCATTATGTTTAGCACTGCAGGATTTACAATAATGATAAATATACATATGTTCCACCTTTATCTAGTGTGGAAGATGGGCATGAAAACAGGTCACTGCATGGAATGATAAGATCAACAGTGGAAAGGTGGAAAGGGGAAAGGGAGCACTGTGCCCCTCGAAGTGTGACCTGCTAACCGCTGCTGGTCCGTGGACTATTTGGACCAGTCTGCCACAAATAAGTACAGAAAATGAGGGTACTTATTTATGAATAGCAACTGGGGGTTACCACAACATTTTTATTGTATTTTACAGAAGAATTAATCTGAATCCGATAGGAGAGTTACGAAAAGGATCCATCAAAATGTGAGAAGTACTGGCATAGAGGAGGGATGACTAATTATATTGGGGTAGATCCTGAACGACTTCCCAGAGGAAATGACTCTGAGCTGGGATTTGAGAGTTGAATAGGAGTTTGCCAGGAGTGCATGTTCTTGGTGCCGAAAGAGTTTATGTAGAGGCACTGAAGTGTGACACTGTGTGATGTATGTGGGGAACTATAACTAGTGGGATAGAGCTGGAATTAGTGTGTGTGTGGTGGGGGTGGGGTTGGGGGAGAGTGGTGTTCAGAGCTGGGCAAGGATAGATTAAGGTAGACTTTATATGCTCTGTTGAAGAATGTAGATCTGGTTCAATGGGTGAAGAAAATACCACATGATTAGATCTGAATTAAAATACATCTCCTACCATATCACACAGGGCTACAACCGTATCTTCCATTCTCTTTGACTCTTCCTGCAGTAGTTTGGGTTAGTTCTTTTTCTGTTCTTTTCATGCTCTCAATTGTTTTTTTCCTGACTCATACAGTGGGCAAAACTTTGGTGCCTGTGTTTTCCCACACAATCCTCTCCTAAATCACAACTTCAGTCACTGCAAACCTGGGCCTTCCTTGGAGACTTAGCATGAACCCCAACCTCTGGGCATAGCCCTGTGGCAGGAAGAACCCCGCAGAGCTCAGTGGTGACATCCTGATATCAATAGCTCACATTCTCAAGGCAGAAATTGATGCTGGCCACCTGTCCCCACATCCTGATCCTCTGTTCCTAAGAGGAAATAAGGGCTCTCCACTGATCTATGGTAGGAGGTGACGGCATGTAAATCAATGAACAGAGGAATTCAATGAAAGGGTTTCATGCCTAGTGCTGAGCCTCCAAACTGAGCCCAGGACACTTTAGTTTACCTCTTATTTGTTAGTCGACCTCCCCATACCGTGTTCTTCCAGTCATTCAAAAAATGTGCCTAGAGCATCTACCTGGTGGGCACTCTTCAGGGAGAGCAGTGACACAAATCAGGCCTGTCCCCAGCCTTCAGGGAGCTCAAGTAGAGCTCTCAAATAGAGGCACATGAGGAACTTGGCATTGCATTCCTAGCACTGCACCTGCTTGCAGCATAAAGAATGTTCGGTATGTTAACTCATTCCATAATGACAGCACACAGCTATTCGGCACAGGACTAGGCACTGTTCTTAACATTCCCACATATGAGTTCCTGAGGTAGGAGCTAGTATTAACTACATAGTATACAGAAAAAAAGTGAGACAGAGAATTTCAGGAACTCACCTAAGGCCTCAAAGTGAGTTAAGGCCTCAAAGTAAGGCCTCTAACTGGGAGCTGGGATTTGAACCTCATCATTTGCCCTATAAAATATGCTATGCTAAAACCAGTGAATGAAGCCCGTATCATCAGTGCTTACATGCTGTGGTCCCCATGTAGGTAATTTAAAATTATTTTCTCAGTTGCTTTTGTGATTTCATTCATACCCCAAATTTCTGCTTTTGCTGAGTCTAACAGGTAACCAACATTTTGATATCCAGAACATGCTCAATCTTTAAAGGTAGTTCTTTTTTTGTGAATGTGGAAAATGAAACTGGCATTCAATGAAAGGATAAGCAGTTGTTAGTTATCATTCTCCAAATAAATATGAGTGCTTTGCTCTGAGTACCTGATGTTTAAGCAATTAAGATGCTCAAGACGGGACTTTGCTTATTGCACAGTTGTACTTACCTACACACTGCTCTCCTCGCTTCTGATACCCTGGAGGGCACTGGCAGGCAAAGGAGCCTCGCAAATTGATGCACACTTGATCCGTTCTGCAGTTGTGTGTCCCTGCCGCGCACTCATCTATGTCTGTTAAAGACACGCAATGTGGAAAGGGTTTGAGTTGGTTGTGAAGATGTTGATATAGCCTTCATATTGTCTTAATACTTTTCTTAAAGAAACTGAGTTTTTACTTTATTTTTAAAACATTACTTGGCAATATTGCTGTATTGGAAATATGTAAAGAGATAAATTATTTTGAGTGTTCAAAAAATAATTTCATAGATGCCAGTGTGTACCGCTCCGATTTAGCAAATGTTAACATTCTGCGCTACTTCCCTCAGCTCTTATTTTGTTAAGAAATGAAATATTTCAGATATAGCTAAATAAAGCCTTACTTCAGCCTCATCCCTGTACCCATCCACCTGCCACTATCCTGGTAGGTGTGAATCCTTCTTTGAGGTGTTTTTATACTTTTGCTATACAAAGATGCACCCATCAGAATATACAGCACTGTTTTGTGTTTTTTTTAAATGTAAACAAATTGTATGATGCTTGTTTTTTCTACCCAATACATTGCACTTGAGATAATTTCTATTGACAAATCTTTAAAACCTGCTCAAAAACACGGTATAAGCCAAACTTTAATATTATACATTCCCTGGTGTGTGTGTGTGTGTGTGTGTGTGTGTGTGTGTGTGTGTGTGTGTGTGTGTTCAAACTTTAGGGTAACATGATTGTATAAACCTTTCACTGCAAATTTCAAAACACAAAAACACAAAGAATTTAATTTGGCGATAATCCTCTAGGAGAGATAGGCTGGTGTAGTGTAAAATATATATTTCCCAAAGCATTTCAATTTGGGGAATAATATACTCAAGGTGCTTTAAGGAATAGGTAGATTGAAGTTCTTAGTAAAGTAAAAATATGCTCAGTCATAATGTAAGGAACCTGTTATAATAAATTTCTTTGGGATCAAAATGTGATGTGAATCTGTGTGTGTACATTTATATTACACAGTAATTTATAAGTGAAATTTAATTTTGCCTTATCTACATCAGTTTTCATTCATTCAGATCTCTCACATTATGAAGTTAAATAGCATAAATGAAAGGATTAAGTGATTTTGGTGTTCCTCAACAACTTAAGACTCTAAGTATCATTAAAAAATATAGCCTTGAAATTCCTTGATGACAAATTTAGCATAAAAACTGTGACAAACTAAGGGAGTCTCAGAATATCTCTGTGGTAGGCCCAGGGTGGTGCTTTGGAAGAAATGGGCCAAGAGTCAATAATAAAAAAAATGAACCATCAGTTAATTAAAATTTATTCCTCAATTCTTGCCCTTCCCTTTAAAAAGTTCAGAATGTTGTCATTTATCTTTCTTACATTTCCAAGGAGAATTACTGCACTTACACTACCCAGTATAATAATATAGGAAGTTCAGATTATAAGAGGGTTGTCCTCATATATGGGCTTCGAGTAGCTGGGTGCAGAAGCAATAAGAGAGATTCTTTCTAAAAGAAAGACGGAGAAGAGATGAAAAATACTTGAGGGATGTATGGCTGTTTATTGGATAATAACCTATTAAAGTACCTACTTAGACAATTCTTTAAACCTGGTTTTTAAGGTCTGGTGAGTTTATTAAAAAAATGTTTGTTTCGAAATTTATTATTATTTTTATTTTCAAATCAGTGATTATAATTCTGTCCTTTTTAGGACAAGGTGCAGCAATCTTGCTTTGAAATGATCCATTCTTTTTTGTGTCTTTTATTATTTTCTCATATGCACTTGATGAAAACATTTCTACTGAGGTTTCTTTGGAGCTTTATGACTTGCTAATGCAGAAATGACAGCAGAATTCCTATTGTTTTATGTCAAGAACATTTGCCAGCATTTGCAGTGATAACAGCCCTGAGGGATGCTGCAATGTGAGATTCAGATGTGGCAAGTTTCCTCGCTACGTGCTGGCAGATGATCAAGGGCTCAGGGTGGCTGCTGCATTTTGTACAGGAGGCCTCACTGGTGACTGAGGCTTCTTTCAGAGATACCTCTCTGCAAAGCACACCGTCACACTCCTGTGTCCAATGACTGCCTTCCTACTTTCTTGTCATTCAGTTCTAAGTCTCTTTGATAAATAGGTTAATGTTGCCAGTGGAATTAATATATCATTAAATAGGTTTTAAACATAAAAACTGTGCGGCCTGGACCTACTCCTTCTTAAGAACAGGTCCATTTACCTTCTGAGAAGGGTTATTTAATAAAAATATGAGGTGAGTTACGTAATTGAACAAAAACAAACAAACAACAACAACAACAACAACAAAACACCAAGTAAAATACCGCTGCCTCTATTACTGGTACATTCTTTTCCTTTTTCTATCAAAAAAACAAACAAAGTTGCAACCGGACTCACCACACCTAGGATGGACTGGTGATATTTTTCATGCATTTTCTACTTACTTGGATTCACTTTTAACTCTTTCTGAGGGGAAACCTCCTGAAATTCAATAAAGCGCAGTTGCCTGAAATTTTTCCCTTTGAGAAATTATCCCAAAGGAGTCGAGTGAGTGCTTCAGCATGTACCCTGAGCTGGATCTGCTGGGACTCTAACTGACTGCACTTTCAGTTATGGCATATGCATTTCTATTTGTCTTAAATATCAGAAAGTTCCATGTGATAAGAAAATCACTAAACTATACACCTATGTCAGAAACGCAAAGCAGAGTATCCACTTCTGTACAGAGGTGCCAGGAGACCCGGCTCCTCCACATGTGTTTATGAAAGCCCTCTGTGGAGAGAGTATCTGTAGTGCAAAAAAGCAATGCTTTATTCATAAGGGAAACTGCTCAGGTCACTCATGATTTTTCCTGATTATCTAAGAAAAAAGTACTCCGGGGAGAAGAGTTTTTGTTTTGTTTTTAAACCATCTAAAATTAATCCTTGACAGGTAAGCTCACTAGGTTCTCAGGCCATCAGTGAACAACTTCCCTGGACCCCACACTCTTTGAGGAAGTGGTCTATGTCTTACTTTTCTTTCCTGTATTCCTAGTGCCTAGCAGAATGCATGAAACATGGTGGGTTTTCAGTAAATATTTGTTCAAGAAATAGATGAGTGCATCACGATTGCCGAGAACTGATGTTTAAGGAAAGGATCAATGTTTTATCTCAAGTAACTAAACATTGACAAGGCAGGTTAACAGGCAAGATGTGAGAAAAACAGCAAAATCAGCAAGAGGTCAGCAAATGGAAACGGATGTAAAGCACGGGTGTTGACAAGTGCAGACTCTATCGGGAATAAGGCAGCATCAGAGGTGGGTGGCTATGGAAGGTTTGCCGGAAGAGGTGAGTTTTGAGCAGCACTTTGAAGGCAAGGTACACGGATTGACAGAAATAGGAGGTTATTTCTGGGCAGAAGGCAGGTTGCCTTAGGAAACACTGACAAGACAGAAGTGGTTTGCATGAGAATGGCTGACAGCTGGAGTCCGGGTGGCTGAAGGGGCTGTGTGGGACAAACCTGGTGCAGTGCCTGATTGAAGGTGCCCCTAAAATGGTAGTTCAAGTCACGAGCAAATTCGGGGCCTTAAAGGTGGGATTAGAGCTTGGATTACCACCACAGGGAGCAGCTCTGAACTATAGCTCTGAACTATGGAGATATAGCCTAACGTAAACATTATCAAAGAACAAAATAATAGAGTGTGCTTCCTAAAATATCACAACACATAAATCAACTCACATTTCATCATTCTAATGCATTAAGAATAGCTAATGGCAATATTTGGCGATTCCCTCATTTTTCAAAAATGTGCCCGTGTTCTCCCTCCTGGTGATTTATGCTATTGCAGGTCCCTCTCTTGCTGACTTTGGCACCATCACTGCTCTAAACAACCCAGTCTGATCTTTCCTCAGCTCGCACTCCTAGCATCTTTACCACGCTGAGCCCCAGTCTATGGAACTGCACACTTGGTTTTCTCTCAAAGTTAATGGAAGCAACTGTGTGAACATCCATTAAATCCCTACTCAGGCCCTTAATTCTCTATGGTTTTGGCTCCTTCCCTTCAGTCTGACTCATATTTCCCAAACCCCTGACTCATGCTGCTTTCTCTCTCTTATGCAACATTTTAATCTCTGCAATGTTCTTTCCATAATTTGATAACTCACCACGACATGGAGTCACTTCAGTGTGTTTTCATGGGCAAAAATTTTCTGTATCTTAAATGCTGTAGATTACCACTTAGACTTTTCTCATTTGTATTGCTTTAGGTTTAAGAAATAATTCAGAACTACTTTGGAATAAGCCACCATTGACCAGTGATGAGACTGCAATGAAATATGAGGAAGGGTATTGGAATTATTTTGATTCTGTCACTGCCTATATGATCTTAGGCCATGGCATCATTTTTTTTTTTCTCTCTCTCTCTCTCTCTCTGCTTCTCTGTCTGTAAAATACACTGTCTATCCCCAATGCTAGTGCAGGCTTTAAAACAATTTTTTTCAGAACCTTCAAAATATGTCTTTTTGTTTCCAGACTGTAAACTCTTAGAGTAAAATAACCATACCTTTACTATTATAGTTCTGGGTGGGACACTGTGCATGCTTTGTAAATATTATTTGATGGTGCTGTCTCTTGAACTCCTGTGGTTAAAGAAAAGGTAGTGGATGAATTCGAATTGCTGCTATTTATTGATCTGTGTGGATTTAAAATTGTGTTATATTTTCCCCCACCATGCTGATTTAACCTCATAAATGGAGTAAAGTAGAGGGAGAAAAAGGTCAAGCATTCATGTTTGTTGTAAAGAGGAGTTTCTCTACTTCGGGCCTCTTTCTTTCCTTTTCTTTCTATTTCTTCTCCTCCCCCCCTCCCCCATTCATGTTCTTAATGATTTAGAGAGACATCTATCTGCTCCAAGTGATTGGTTCTAATCCTTTCTAATGACAAGACAATAAATTAGTTCCTAGCAAAGTACTGTTTTTATTTACTCTATGAAACTTTTTAAATAAAAGGGATTCAATAATTATTTGGGGTATTCATCCTAGTTTTCAATATAATCCTGGAAGGTAGGAACTATCTCAACAAGAGCTGAGGGCAT